TGCAATCCTGTCGCAAGTCTGCCGCGGTGCTGGTGGGGTCCGCGCTGCCCTCGGGGAGGGTGCTGGGAGGATTCCAGGGTTGTGTTTTCAGTGGCCTGTTCCCTGGCTAAGTTTAACTCCTTTAACCCTTTCGGAGTGTAACCCTTTCGTTTCTGACTCTCTGGATCAAACCTGCCCTGCTGTGAGTCTCCTACTGCCCATAGATGGGGACATCACTCGTCTCGCATTAGGGCACCCGCAGGTTTCCCTTTGCAGAGATGTGCTGGGAGGATTCCAGGGTTGTGTTTTCAGTGGCCTGTTCCCTGGCTAAGTTTAACTCCTTTAACCCTTTCGGAGTGTAACCCTTTCGTTTCTGACTCTCTGGATCAAACCTGCCCTGCTGTGAGTCTCCTACTGCCCATAGATGGGGACATCACTCGTCTCGCATTAGGGCACCCGCAGGTTTCCCTTTGCAGAGATGTTCCCGTGCCTGGGGCCGTTTCCGGGCTCCTGCGTGAGCACTGATGAGGCAGGGCAGCGCCCAGGGATATGTGAGATCTTCCCTCCGCGCCCTGATGTTGAGGTGACGCGGCGCTGGCGTTAGCGTGTCTCTGGTCTGGGCTGCGCTCTCACCCCTTCCCTGCCTCCCTCTCTCCTCTGCGCCTTGGGGCTGCCCAGGAGGGGACAGATGTGTCCTGGGCTCTGCCCTTCCCAGTCCTGGGGTTGCTAAGGAGGCCCTTGGCTCTCCTCAGGCCTGATTTGAGTGAGCAGCTCCTTGTCCAGGCTGCAGAGCTTTGCCAAGCAGTAGCGGAGAAATGAGAATAGCCCAGATCTCATTGCTGTGACCACTTGTGCTCGCAGCCCCCGGCCTTGACAGTCCCAGCTCCCGTGTGGGGGTCCCAGCGTGGCTGTGGACTTGTCTCCATGGCCTTGTGCAGGGTCACCTCCAGGGTTTTTTAATGAAACCTCTTGTGTGGGAGCTCTCTGCTCCGTGCATGCCTGCCCTGAATCACAGCTCGTCCCAAAATGTGCTCCCACACGCTCGACCTGCCCTTCCGAAATGCCCAGGGTCAGCAGTATTGGGCATCTGTGCAGAGCGCCCAGCGCCCCTCTGAAAGCAGTGTGTCACCTGCCTGGAGCGTTGCGGTAAATCGGTGGTGGGGAAAGGCTGATCTCCCCTCTCCCGCTCCTGTGCGAGGCTTCGTGGTCTTTCCCACCGCAGACGGCCTCCTCCACGCGAGCCCTGACAGCACAGAACGGGCACCAGCACGGAGAGGGCAGGAGGGTCAGCGTGAGCGGCAGCTCTGGGTGTCCTGGTGTCCTCCCGCTTGCACTGCCGGCTCATGGCTTTCTCTGCTCTTGCTTCCAGGCAGGTTTCGTGCTGATAACTTGAACAAGCTGAAGAACCTTTGCAGCAAAACGATCGGAGACAAAATGAAGGTAAGGGAGAGACGAGCTCTGGGAACCTGTACTCAGCCCAGACGAGGCGCTGCGCTGTCCCACTGCTTCACTCACTGAGGGCTTCGCTCACAACAGGCTCCCGAAATGCCCGATGCAATGGAGCCTCCTTCACACGACGGCCCTGGCAGTAGTTTATCATTGAGACTAACTGAGGATGTTTCCCCCAAGCCTCTACTGGGGACCACATGGGCTCTGCTCGTTCTCCGCACCTCTCCCTAGCATATAATTCAAGAATGTTTTTCTCCGTGGCTTTCCCTTTGACCCTGATGGCATTTTTTCCCTCCTCTGCAGAAAAAAGAGCCGGTGGGAACTGATGAGTCTATACCAGAGAGCGTGCAGAACCTCGATGAGCTCACGGCCGACATCTTAGGGGTGAGTTCGACCCCCTCCGTCCCTCAGCGTGCCACCAGCCTACCCAGCTTGCCCAGAGCTCCAGCTCTACTTGCCCAAGCTGGCAGCACGAGGTGTTTGAAAGCCCCAACACCGAGTGATGAATGACTGCTGAAGCTCTGTGCTGGGAGATTATTTCTCCCAGTCCTGAGCCAGCAATGATCAGACCTTGCTCAGAGTTGTTCATCTTAAAACTGTTTTAGGCTTGGTGTGTGGCAGTGAGTTCCCCAGCCTGCTCACTCATCCGAAGGGTTGTCTTGCAGTTCCCTTGAAGATTTGACCAGCCTCAGTAATTGTGTTTCCTCTGCAAGTCTTTTCCTCCGTGCCCATTCCCCTTCCCAGTTTGTCTACTGAGATGTTTAATGAGCGTGAAGCTGGTCGGCTTTTGCTGCCATGGGAGCTGACTGCTCCCCCTGTCGCTGTCAGGCCCCGTGTGACGCCTTAGCTTGCTCGGGGCCTTTCAGTGCCTGACTTATGTTGGCCCTTTGTCTTCTTTCACTGTTGTTTGGTGCGTTCAGTCCATGGTTTTGCTCCAGAGCCTGTGTCAGTTGGGCGAGGGTCTGTGATTAACTACACTCAGCTGTCAGCCTGCTCTCCACTTCGGTTTTCTCTCCTTCCCCTTGTAACCCGGCTGTCTGTAACAGGGTCTCCAGGTATCCCAGATCAAGAAAGTCCGTGTCCTCATTGACGAAGCCATCCTCAAGTGTGACGCTGAGCGCGTGAGGCTGGAGGCGGAGCGCTTCGAGAGCCTCCGGGAGATCGGGAACCTCCTCCACCCCTCGGTGCCCATCAGCAATGATGAGGTAGGGATGGAGCGCCCCCCCCCCCCACAACCACACTCACGC